AAATGGTGAAATATGGTAAAAATAGTTCTGTTTAGCTACAAGGTAGGTAGTTAATCATATAGCAATAGATATCTGGAATGTTGGTAGAGACATATATAAGCTACAAGATTGCTTATTTGAACAGTAATTTTCCTTAGGTTGATTTTTGCTAGTTATCTTCACAAATGTTTAGTGGTTCTCAATATTCTTTCAGGATTGAATAGGATATGTATCTGGGTAGAATCTGTGAACAGCTTGGTTTTGGATGTGGGGGCAGGGTTCCCTATCATTCATTTGGATCTTAAATGATCCAGTATTCTTCACTGCTTTTCTGGTCCCAGTTAGATTTTCTTGTGTCAGAAAACTCACTTTAGAGAACAATTATCTTAACAATTTGTCCTGGAAACAAGTGCTTGATTTATCTTTTTTTTTTTCTCTCTCTCCTATCAATATGGAGGTTTGCAGTTACCTCACTGCTCTTCTTTCTCCAGTTCCAACACTCATCACACTCCTGCTCTAGGTGAATTGTTTGCTTTTGGGGGGAAACAGCATTAGCACCCTTTACTACTTTCAGAGGAAGAAGAAAAGTTCTGGCTTACGTTGCTTATCCAAAGGCTACTTCTTAATGAATTGCTCTGACAATTGTGCCTAGGCTACTTATCATTTTTGTTGCCTCTAAACTTAAAGTGGGCTTCCTAGGTGGTACAGTGGTAAAGAGTCTGCATGCCAATGAATGAGATGAAGGAGAATTGGGTTTGATCCCTGGTTGGGGAATATGCCTTAGAGAAAGGAATGGCAACCCACTCCAGTATTCTTGCCTGGAGAATCACCATGGACAGAGGAGCCTGGCAGGCTGCAGTCCAGAGGATCGCAAAGAGTCGGACATGATTTAGCATGTAGCTTGCACACAAACCTAAAGTATATCTGACATGGCTCTTACTTTTATGGTAGGACTGTAGTCATACGTAATTTTCCATAATTAAATTACACTGTAGGGAAAACATAACAAAAAACAAGAATTTAAATATGGTGGATGATTTTTGCCTGTCATTCTATTCAATCAGTTTTGTCCCAGAAGGAGCAAATCTCAGATGGGAGATGTAAAACTGCTGTTATTTCTATCACATTTAGCATCCAGGTGCCTCTTGTAGTAAAAGCATTCACCACATTTAGTATGACCATATCATTAAAGCTATAGATTTGAACCTTCATAGCATGGTTTCTAAATGTAAGCCAAGCCTTTTTTCAGTGTTTAACCAAAGAAATATGTCTGTTCCAATGTTGAGGAAAATCACTTGTGCTGGATGCTTAAGAGGTACTTTGATTGCAATGTGGCCTTTTCTCAAGGACTTCTCAAAGATAATTTTTTATTTATTCAATTTTTTAAAGAAATAGATAGCAATACAGTTTTTATAAAGATGCTTGTGTTGACTGGAAGAGAGTAAAGCTTCAGGTATATAATGCAACTTCCTTAAATGGAAATAGAAAAGATATAAGGTGCTACAACCGAACAGCTCTGCAGGGCCCAATCACAGTCTCCCTGTGGGAGGGAAGACTTACCTGTCATCTCCCACTGGGGTGTCTTACCTGGTAGCATCATCTGTTGGCTGAGAGAACCCTTAAGGGTTTTTAAGAAATCTTTCTTGCCATCGCTCAGAGGTTTTCACTGCCTCTTGATCACTCTTCACTGCTATGGAGACTTTGGTTATCTTTCTAATGTTCACCAGATGCAAACTAACTCGTGACCACCCTGGAACATTCCTGAGTGCTTACTGTAAGAACGGATGAATCGGAGCTCAATTGCCCAGGACTGATTTTCCAGGTATCCTACTCTCCTGACAGTGCCTGTCAGGAAACTGTTCAACTAATGCACACATAAGGCACCATATTATAAGTATATTAAAAAACTGCAGCGAAAATAAAACCCCCATTAATGGGAATTGTCACTATAGACAATTATTATAAAATACAAATTCACGCAAGTACTTTTCTCTTATTTGTGTTTTAGGCTGGGTGGGGTTTTTGTTTGTTTGCTCTTGTTTTATTGGTTCTTATTTCCCTTCAGTTTCCCATACACTTTGTCTCTTCCTCAAACTTCTGGTCAGGTGATGGTACATTTTTTTTCAGCACATTTATCCTTTATAAGTAAAAACTGGGGAAAAAAATGTGAACTATGAAATTTGGGAGAGAAAGGATAGGTGTTCCATCTGCGTTCCATCTGACGTCTTTCTTTACCATGTCCTCTTTGTCTTTGATGTTGATGAGCCTGTGTCTGGTTTCCTAATGGCTTTCCTATTAGAATTTTGGTTTGGTTTGGATTCCTCTCTTCACACCTCCATGTTTTGTTTTGTTTTTTTTTTTTTTACAGTTACAGGTAGACTTCCTGCACTAGTTATCCTCTCAGACCCTAGTTTTTGTCCTTGGTATTTTGTTGCAAGTTGTCACTGACCTGCCCATTTCCTGAGAGCTGGGGAGAGGACTGGGCAAAGGCCTCTTCCTGTGTGCATCCTCAGGGCCCTGGGGTGATGGCAGCTGCCTCTAGAGTTGACTGTGGTCTCATTCTTTCTGCTCTTAGCTCCAGCTGCACAGGTCTTCTTCCTGTGCTTTGAAGTGAAATCCATGCCCAGTTTTGCTTCATAGATTTTCACATGCTTTTCTCTGCCTCTAGAGCAGCCTCTTCTCCTACACTAACTCCCACACTTAGTTATCATTTTGTCACTTCCAGGTGTCCGTTCAAATAACCACTTCCTCCAGTAGATCTCCCCTGCATAACCTCTCTGCATAGCCCATGTCCCAGAACACGTTATGCATTTCCTGCATAGCACTCACTATGGTTTGTAACCGTATATTCATTTGTATTATTGTTTGATGACTCCACTTCCTTTTTGAGACTAGTAGGCTCTTGTCTCCAAGATCATGTCTTTTATGGGGTTTTTTTTGCTCATCACTGTTTTCTCAGCTACCAGCCTAGTGCCTATGTGAATTGCTGACTGAATAAACAAAATATAGGTATCAATAACTGTTCACTTAATGACCAAGCTGTTTGAATGAAGACATTGGAATGATGAATGAGACTGATATTTGTTTATTCTTAGGTTTCTGGCATTAATAGTATTATAGTACAAACATTTATAGCATAGAACAATATGAATACAGCTATATATCTATAGCATTAGATAACAACTTACAGAGAAATTACATGATGATAATTTTAACATGGACACTAACTTAAAGATTTCTTAGAGTATATGTTCTGTCATAGTCATGCTGCATTTAGCATCCTTGACTTGCCTGTGTGTCAATGAATCACTGTTTATAAAAGAATCATGACAAGATATGGTTGGCCCTTTGTATTTCTTCATATCCTTGGATTCTGCATCTGGGGATTCAACCAACTGTGGATTGAAAATATTTGGGAAAAAAATTCTGGAAATTTCCAAAAGGCAAAAGTTGAATTAGCCATGTGCTGGTAACTATTTCCATAGTACTTACATTGTATTAAGTATTATAAGAAGCAATCTAGCCACGATTTAAAGTATTACTATATGGGAGGATGTGCTATTGAGTATATGCAAACACTATGCCATTTTATATGAGGGTTGTGAGCATCTGTGGATTTGGTATTCATGGGGGTTCCTGGAACCAGTCCCTTGCAGACACCAAGGGATGACTGTACTTTGTTTCCATTCCCTAGGCTTCATTGACTACATATAACATCAGTATAAGTCATGGTTCTTTTTTTTTTTTTTAAAACATTTATTTTTATTTATTTGGCTACATAGAGTCTTAGTTGTGGCATGTGGGATCTAGTTCCCTAACCAGGAATCGAACCCAGCCCCCCTGTATCAGGAGCGCAGAGTCTTAGCCACTGGACCACCAGGGAATTCCCTAAGTCATGGTTCTTTAGGCAACAAGCATATGGCTACATTGTAAACTAGTATTGATATAATAGATTCTATGAATTTGAATTAGTCAGAATTTGCTTTATAATAGAATTGTAGAAAGACTATTCTCCCCTGTATTATAGGCCCAATATAGTATGCAGAGTCTACTTATAGTGTTGACTAATTCAATAATCCTAAAAACTTAATGGTATTTTGGCTAGGATTCTTAGTAAAGAACAAGCAAGTCTATTGTAATTTAAACAGAAAAATGTATTAACTAAATTGCAGTATTAGTGTTACTGTGTGTTAGAGTTGCTAACTGTTGCATGCAGTTCTAGTTTATCCTTGACATTATCAGTAGCATCCCCTTCTATTCCCAGATGCGTCCTAGTTCAAATGGCAAACTGTATGACCCCCTATCCAGGGCAGTTGGGAGAGCTGGAGAAATGGATAAAGCTTCCAGGAGCAAGGCCTCTAGGCACACACAAAACTGGATTAACGAGGGAGCTGTCATTTGTCACCACCACTGACTCTGGAACCACTCCACAGATCTGCCACTCCAAAATCATATCTCACGGATGAGAGAGGAATCCCCCATCACGCCCTGTACATCTGGGGCTATTCACACCATGGAAAAATGAACTCCTCATTCACACACTAGTTTTCCATAGGACAGAAATCAGAAAACCGCTTGCACCATTTGTACAAGAGCCTGCGAAGACGTGGTTTGGGGGATTCCACCTGGAGAAAACAAGGTTGCCAAAACAGAAAACAATTAAAAACGAGAAGTGTATTTAAAATATTTTGAACAGCTGCAAAAGACAGATGTTACCCTTTATCTGGACATACATCCATTTTCCAAACTTAAAAACAATAGCAATAAAAACTGTATTCCCACTTAATGAGGTAATAATCTCTCACACAAATAAACTCATTCTCTCCCTAGATGAGGAGAGTATTTAGCATGATCTTTTTTATTTAGTACAATGTTTTAATCTAATACAATCTTTTCTAGGTCTAATATATGTAGTCATCACTACATATGTTTCCTTAATCCTACCTTGGTGTTTGCAGTTTTGTTGTTGTTCAGTCGCTCAGCCCTGTCCACCTGTTTGCGACCCTATGGACTGTAGACCTCTAGGCTCCTCTGTCCATGGGATTCTCCATGCAAGAATACTGGAGTGGGTTGCCATGCCCTCCTCCAGGAGGTCTTTCCGGCCAAGGGATCGAACCCACGTCTCTTACGTCTTCTGCATTGGCAGGTGGGTTCTTTACCAGTAGCGCTACCTGGGAATCCAATATTATAAAGTAAATGGTCTTTATTTGATGTGGATAACTTTCCTCATCAACAACTAACTAGTCCATATTACTTTTATCTTTAGGTCAGTGGTGACTCAGTTAGCTGAATTTCTTACCTATTGAGTAGACCCAAATTCCATTCATTGGGAATTGAGCCCCTGCTGGCTCTTCTTGTATGAGGCTACTCTAATTTTCCATTAATTTTTACTAATAGACATGGAAATGTTAAGAAATATCCTATTGAAATTCTTGAGTTAGAGGAACTCTTTTGTGTTTCCATTGCATAACGGTAATTATTCCTTTCTAATCTTGCTTAACCCCACAGCCAATGTGGTAATCCCCTTGTCTGCTCCGTCAAATGGCTTGAGACACTGCTGTGCTCTTGGTGGAAATATTCCTCCCTTGAGTATCAAGATCCTTAAACCAAAGCAGTTGAAAGTGACAAGGATGTCAACTTAAATTCATGTTAGTGAGCCATTAAGGGAAAAGTGAGAAGTACCACTCCCATTTCATTTCCTGGTTCCTAAGCTCATATTTCTGGCCATGGCTGAAGAAACACTATGTATTAGATGCTATTTTATGGCATATGTTGTATTCTACAAGATGTCATCCTAATTTTGTGCCATATCTTCTAATACAGGAACCAAAACTAAATCTTTAATAAGTCATTTCACTTTTGTATAAAGCCATCTGCTTCTAGTTGGAAATATTAATGTCTCCTAAATGCATCAATCTGAGGTCCTAATCATTCTGCTGTAAAATAAGATCTCTAGTCAGAACCAATGTTACATGAATTATAGTGACAGAGAGTGAAGCATTTGGTCAGTTGACAGATGAGGTTGCTGGCAGAAACTTGGTAGACAAGATGGACAAATCCATGGCTAGAATGTATCAATTTTAGACGGCAGGGATCCACAGTCATCATGTTGGAAGAAGCCTTATGTAGTTAATCTGCCATCAGGTGGCTGGTTATTCCTTTTGGGGCATGGTATCATATGGCAGGACTCATGTTTGTTCGCTGTTGCTTTCAAACTGAGCATTCAGCAGAAGTAATATCCAGACATCTGGGGGGAAAGAAGTCTAAGTTGTTAAGCCCATGCAACAACTCTATATGAAACCATGACCACATTTCTTCACGAGACCATTTAATAATTACTGGGTCACTGTGGAAAGAGGTTAACAAATCCACACGGCAGGGCACCTTGTTCAGTCATCCACTGAAAGCTCCATTGTAGAGTCAGTCTTTTTGCACATTCACATAAATTTTCTCAAACTCTAGAAGAGTTTAAAAGTCTAGATTGATCTTTGCAATAATCTTCCTTATCACCACCCCTCCAATCTTATTCCTCCCAAGTCCCTGACTATCCAGTGAAATTATTAGGTATTGCCTATAATTTAACATAGATCTGTAGCTTATCTTGCTTTCCAGATAAATGGATCATGAGATGCCCTGTTTGAAGTTCTGCTCATTGGGAATATTTACTTTTCTATGTGAGCAATCAGGTCACCCCAGAGTGGGGTTGACATGATGAAGTGCTCCACTCCTATAGGTGGGGTGATTGAGCTGTATTAAAGGGGACAAATAAATACCACTGTGTAATGTGGACAAAATGAATACTTTTATGCAATAGAGATTCCTATAGGGTGCTGTTTAGTATTGTCATTTCCAGTGGAGACAACAGTAAATTGAAATATTTTTTTTTGTTTTCTCAGTCACCTGCTCTTAGAGTTCTCTTAATGAGGATAGCAGTGTGGTTTGAGAGAACAAAGGCAGCATAGCAGGAGTAAACATACTCAGAGAATGAGTCATCTGCCTTTGAAACTTCTGTTTTTAGGACCCACTTGAACCAATTCAAATAGAAATCATTTCCTGGGGATGATGGATGCTGCAAGGAATATCTGATTTTATAGCTCAGTAGTTGAGATAAAATATAGTTCATGGTGGGATGCTCAATTTCCATAGCCACATGTGTACTGCTGTCAAACATTCAGTCTCTACCAGGATCCAGCAGCAAAGTGAGACTTCCCCAGAAGGAGAATGCCATAGTTATTCACTTAAAAAGATACTGTACTTTGAAATGTGAGGGTATGCACTATAGTCTGGATCTTCCAGGGAGTCTTGTATTGCTTTATGCCACATTGAAGGCTAGAAGACTTTTTATGACCTGTTAATTATTTGCAGAAGCAGAGCTAAATATCATATATAATTTCTACAAAATACAAAAATTGAGCAAGCATCATTCCGCTTTCTTATGACAGTGGATGCATATTGGAATACTTTTCTTTCCTGTTGGAGGAGACATTTTGAGACACTGGTCTCCAGAAATTTCAGTCAACTGACAGGCCTCTGTATTTTTCGTATCTTTTATCTTTTGATGGAGCTTGCCAGATGGCATTGGTGGCAACGAATCCACCCGCCAATGCAGGAGATGCAAGAGACACAAGTTCGATTCCTGAGTCGGGAAGATCCCTGGAAAAGGAAATTGCAACCCACTCCAGTATTCTTGCCTGGGAAGTTCCATGGACAGAGGAGCCTGGTGGGCTACAGTCTGTTGGGCTACAGAGAGCCAGACATGATTGAGCGACTAAGCACACATCTTTTGATATGTATATGTTTTATGAATGTATATGGGTACGGATGTGAGAGTTGGACCATAAAGAAGGTTGAGTGTCGAGGAATTGTTGCCTTCAAATTGTGGTGCTGGAGAAGACTCTGGAGAGTCCCTTGCACTGCAAGGAGATCAAACCAGTCAATCCTAAAGGAAATTAACTCTGAATATTCATTGGGAGGACTGATGCTGAAGCTGAAGCTCCAATGCTTTGGCCATCTGATGCAAAGAGCCAACTCTTTGGAAAAGACCCTGATGCTAGGAAAGATAGAAGGCAAAGGAGAAGGGGGCAGCAGAAGACGAGATGGTTAGATAGCATCATTGACTCAATGTACATGAACTTGAGCAAACTCCAGGAGTTAGTGAAGGACAGGGAAGCCTGGCATGCTGCAGTCCATGGGGTCACGGAGAGTCAAACACAACTTAGAAAATAAACAGCAATGGTACCTACTCTTTCTGTGCACTGCGTTGCATTAGCATAAAATCGTCGGTTTACAGACCACTCTGATGTTCTGCATGCTGAATTATGGCAGTCAGTGAGTTCCTGTTGTTCTTTGGCATCGAAGCCAGTCACGGTGTGTGTCTGTGCCTGCCAGGTGGAAACCATCTGCATCCAGTGTTCTGTGTTTACTGGGACAGAGGAACAGACATTAGTCAGATGGAAAGGTCCGTTCTAGCTACAATGCGGGGTCTGGACTGATTTTCTCTCTTGAGTGATAGCATCCTTCAGACGTGACAATCCAATTAAATGGAAAACAACCCGCTGTTGTTCTGTGAGACCTCTCTTCTGCAATGGTCAGATAGGCAAATTAGATGTGAAGTGACAGTAATCACCAGTTGTGCATCTTGTGTGTGTGTGTGTGTGTGTGTGCATCTTTTAAGTCTCCATGATTATTACAGGAATATGGTTCTGCTTTTCTTTTTTCTTTTGCTTTTCGTCCATACCACATGGCATGGCCCCTTGCACTGGAAGCTCGGAATCTTAACCACTGGACCACAAAGGAAATCCCAGGACATATATAGTTCTGTCACCATAACCTTATCCACATTATGGTAAACTTAAAGCCTATCTCTATTAGAGTTCTCCAGAGAAACAGAGAATAGGATGTGTATGTGCATATTTGTGTTGTATATATACATATAATGTATATACACATTGACCAAATATCTGGGTACCATGGCCTAGCCTAGCTGACACATAAAATTAACCATCACATTTTCTTTTCATTCCCATAATACTTAGAAGCATCCTGATGGATCGTCAGTCTTCCTCCACATGCCTTCCTTCCCTTACAAAATTACGGAGACCCTGAAAGTCCTGTATTGATAGGCTTCTTATTCTGTATGTTGTTGTTGTTTAGTCTCTAAGTTGTTTCTGACTCTTGTGATCCCATGTTGCCCACCAGGCTCCTCTGTCCATGGGACTTTCCAGGCAAAAATACTGGAGTGGGTTGCCATTCCCCTCTTCAGGGGAACTTCCCGATCCAGGGATTGAACCCGAGTCTCCTGCATTGCAGGCAGATTCTTTACTGCTGAGTTACCAGGGAAGCCCCCTTATTCCATATAACCAAGTGATAATTTAAGTAACTGTCACCACGGCTGCCACGGGCTGGATTCTCCTTGCCTTGTAACCTGACAACATTGAATAAGCAGCTACACATTCTCATTTCCTGAAAGGTTTGTTGTCCACCATCACATCTGTCATTAATTACTCTATTGGTCAGTGTTCTTGCTTGCAAATAACAATTCACTCAAGCTAGTTTTCACTGAAATAGATTAGTAAAGGATATTAGGTAGCTTGGGGGATAACTGGGAAGGCAGAAGAAAACTCCTAAGTTTCCACAATTCAAGTCCAGAGGAACACTGAAGAATTCACCTGATGAGGGCCACGCTGTAACTGCTGCCGGCTCCAGAAGCAGCAGCAGCACTGGCCCGAGGAGAATGGTCCTGGTGCCAAACCCAGTGGGTGGAGGTCTGAGAGGACAGTGCTTATGGCGTGTACACAAAAGAATGGGCTAGGAACACAGTCTCCTTTCATTCTAGTTTGAAGGAACATTCATCCTACCATGTTGAATACCCAACTTCAAAACAGTGCAAGGCTGACAATGACATTTCCAGATAATTAGGTAAGAATATAAGCATTACCTTCCTCTTTAGAAGAAGGCATTCCCCTGAGTTCAAGAAAGCATTGGGGCCTCCCCGGGTGGCGCTAGTGGTAAATAATCTACTTGCCAAATCAGGAAACACGAGAGATATGGGTTCAGTCCCTGGGTAGGGAAGATCCCCTGGAGTAGGAAATGGCAACCCACTCCAGTATTTTTGCCAGGAAAATCCCACGGACAGAGAGGCCTGGCAGGCTACAGTCCATGGGGTCACAAAGGGTCAGACACAGCTGAGCGACTAAGCGCAAGTAAGCATTATAACCTCTGCAACCACACCTCTAAGCAACAACATGCTCTAGGTCATTGTGATAAAAAGGATTCTGAGATGGCCCTGAGTTTCTGCCTCTGGTGTACATACCTTCTAGAGTGCCCTCCCTTGGTGTGTGTGTAGAAACAGTGAGTATGCTGGGCTATCACTCCTGTGATTAGGTTATTAACTGACCTTGAGTTAATCACAAGGGAGATTATCCTGAGTGGGCCTGACTTCCTCAGACAAGCTCCTCATAAGAAGTTAAGCATTAGTAAACTATTTTCCTGCTGGTTTGAAGACAAGCAAACTGCCAAGTTGTGAGAGATGGAGGCACATGGCTAGAACCTGAAGACCTTGGCTGACAGCCAGCAAGTCATGGGGACCTACCCTGCAAAGAGCTAGATCTTTCAGACAATCCAGTGAGCTCAGAAGACGGTCCCAAGCTCCAGACAAAAACCTGGCTTGACACTTTGAATTTAACCTTGTGGGAGCCTGTGCTGATAACCCAGTGTGTGCCTTCCTGGACTTCTGACCTACTGAACGTGTGAGGTGACAATGGGTACTGTGTAAGTCACTAGTGTGTACGAACTCATTGCACAGCTATGGAAACAAAGACAGTTGTGGTTAGGAGGAGCAACCACTGAGAGAATTTTTAATCACATAAAATGCCTCTCCAAATCTCTCCTTTGTATTTGCTTTGGGAATGGAGGCTTTCTCAGAGATATGGGACAAGAGAAAAACAAACTTAGAGGTACATCAAGGAATCCACTGAATGCCTCTCTTCTTCAGGCATAGAATCCTTATGCTCTAATGACTTAGAGAAATAAAACCTAGATTTTGAGTTAGTCAAAAGGCCTGCCTCCAAGTCCCAAGATTTACTACAGAACCCGGCCCATTATTGGCCCATTTAAAATAGTAGCTGTAAGTCAACTATACTTCAATAAAATAAAAAAAAAATAGTACCTATGATCACTACTGTCACATATGCATATGTACAGGAAAAACTCATTATTAGTAGTACTTTTCATTATTAGTAGTACTAATTCATCACTGGTAGTACTTTCACACTTTTTTTCAGTTCTGTAATTTAGAGGCTCCTATTGCCTCTGTTATTAAAGCTCAAAGTCCCTTCACTTGTATGACAATATTACATATATGTATCTTCCTGAGCACAGAAATTCTTCAGGTTAAAACCCCCCAAATGTTATGTACTTCTTGTCAATTTCCAAAGAAAAAAAAATCATAGTGCATGTCTTCTTTTTTATGTCCAAATTTATTTTATTGAAATAAAATAAGACTGGATGGTAGCATAAGTATTTTTGTCTTAGTAACTGGATCTTATTTTCAAATGATTGATCTGATTCACCAACAGATGATTTGAATTCAATATTGTTTGAAAATACCTAGTGACTGTATAACAGAATGTTTAACCATGCTTGGTAGACCTATCCCAATTTTTTAGTTTCAAGATGTTGAAAACCTTCATATCCTCTGCTACTGTTTTCTGATCACTTAGAATTTAGAAACTGTGCTTGGCTGTGAGTATTGGAAACCAGAAAAATAGAAGCTTAAATAAATGAAGGCTTTTAGTCTCTTCACATTACATGAGTTGGACAGTATAGGGCTGGTATTGTCATTTCCTGCTACCAGCATAATCTAGGTTCCTTCTGTGCTTCCATTCAGCTATGCTTAATGGATGCTTGTTATCTCATGAACCCAAAGTCACAGTGTGCCTTCTACTGTCCCGGAAGGAAGAAGGAACGGGCACGGAAAAATATCTTTATTTGAATCTATACTTCTTTTAAAGAGGATTTTTAAAAGTCCCAACCAGTGGCATCCACTAATATCTCATTGATCAGGACACATGGCCACTTCTATGTTTAAGAAGTTTGGTTCGATTTGCTTTTATTAGTCAATCACTTGGTTGTCCCCCCCAAAAAAGCTGAGAATGGAGAAAATTATGAATTTTTGCCACATATAGCCTAGAGGAAAATGAGTATTATTCAAGAAGAAAAGTAATTTGAACTGTCCAACTTTGAATTGGCAAGCAACAAAACTATTTCAACATTTGCGTGGCAGAGTTGGATACTGTAAAACAATGTGACAATACAACATGGTAGTATTGTCTTGAGGCTAAAAGCTTATAAAAATCTTCAGTTATTCAAAGAAAACAGCGAGTTATAAATAAATAAATTCCACTGGAAGATCTGGCTCATAACTAAAATAGTCAAAATCCAATGTACTTTGTGTGGGTTCTTTGTTAACTATTGATTCTCATTAAGTGCAGATTTTGAAAGATAAGCATTTATTTTTTTTTCTAGAGCAAACATCAATATTAGTATTCCACTTCTTATGGACATTTATATGGTAATACACGTTTACACAGATGTTTCTAAGGAAAAAAAAATGTGGAGAGATAGTACACAGATGATCAACATGATGAAAAATTTCAGTATAGAGATGTGTTCCTTAAATATGAAGATACCATGTTCTTGAACTTGATTCAACTGAGAATAATCTGACTTTTGGGTATAAGCCCAGAAGAATTGGATAATTTGTTTTCACCTGCTGAGGAAGCAGGTTAGTTTCCTTGGAGTGCAATTTCAAGTGGGAGGGAAATGATGAGTGAAATGTGAATGCTCACACTTCAGCAACAACTATCATTCAATACATCACTAGTAAAAAGATTTCTAGAAGACAGCGTTTTTTATACCTGCTAAAGTATACTTGATTTACTAACAAGCATGTCAAATATATTTGTGTCTTTGGTTTCCTTGCCTGTAACGTGGAAAAAAACAATTGTACCTACTTCATACAATTAAAAGAATTAGAAGTCAACATGTAAATACATAGAATGGAGTTGGAACATAATAAATGCTTAATGAGTTTGCTACTATTTGTTATTAAAGCAAATCCAAAAATAGGATTAATAACATCCATTCTTTGTATGGAGTTAGTGTAAGTTGTCAAATGATGATTTCTTCTTCCTGGTGAAGGTGAGGACTGGTGAGTTAAAATTAAATTTCTGCCACCCAGCCCTTTTTGTTGTTATTGTTGGCAATGATGAGGTCATTTCACTTTTATTCACCTGTGGGGCTTAGCAGGACTATTGGAGAAGGACTGAGCAAGGGAGTTACAGTCACCAAGTCAACAGGAATTAGCTCTCATTATCTGGACCCTCCAAGCCTCTACTTATTTGCA